GCCAAGAGGCCCATGGTAACTCTGGAGGAGCTGCGAAGATGGATGGAGCCAAATACAGGGCAATCTTAGAAGAAAACCTGTTAAGAGTCTGTAAAAGACTTGAGACTAGGCCGGAGGTTCTCCTTCCAGCAGGACAACGACCCTAAACATACAGCCAGAGCTACAATGGAATGGTTTAGATCAGGGGTATTGAATTAAAATTCACCAAGGTCCGGGCAGCAAAATTTGCATGCATCACGGGTCCGAATCTCATGTAGGCCCCTGTGGTGCTTTTTCGTGTGTGCCAAACCACGTGTTGCTGCGGTGAAATTTTGAAAAAAAAGGGTCAGGGACTTCTTCAGGTTTCTAGTAGATAGTGCTGACCTGTCCACAACATGTGCACCAAATGCACATGTACAGATCTGAACCTGTTCTCACATCAGTGTCCTCAATCCCCACTGCACATCACAGTCCCCTTTTCATTCACAGCAAGATCTCTTGATGAGTGTCTTCAGATCCCCCTTTACTTCACCCCCCTCCACCCCTTTCACTGTAGTGTCCTCACACTTCCTTGACATCATCCCCCCCCCTCAACAGTACTGTCCTCTGCCCCCTTCACTGAAGAGTACTCTGCCCCTTTTTAAATCATCCCCCTACATTACTGTCCTCAGCCCCCCTCCAGGTTACTGTCCTCAGCCCCCCTCCATGTTACTGTCCTTAGCCCCCCACATTCAGTCCTCAGCCCCCTTCACACAAATGTCCTTAGCCCCTTTAACTTCACCCCCCCCCCCACTGACCTACCTTACACACAGTGAATGATTGCTAGGACTGCCCTTTATCCTAGCAACCAATCACCTGCTTGTTAATCTTTGGCAGCTCCCACCCTCCATCCAGAACTGTCCTGCCTCCCGCTGTCAGCTCTGTGAGGATGACGGTGAGACAGCTGGGGGAAGAAAAGGCTCTTAAATGGCAGGACTGCATGGGTCCGTATGGGACAGTGACTCGGTCTGCCATTTAGTGATGCCTGGTTTAGATCAATACATATTCATGTTTTAGAATGGCCCAGTCAAAATCCAAACCTTAATACAATTGAGAATCTGTGGCAAGACTTGAAAATTGCTGTTCACAGACACTCTGCATCCAATCTGACAGAGCTTGAGCTGTTTTGCAAAGAAGAATGGGCAAAAATTTCATTCTAGATGTGCAAAGCTGGTAGAGACATTCCCAAAATGTCTTGCAGCTGTAATTGCAGCAAAAGGTGGTTCTACAAAGTATTGACTCAGAGGGGCTGAAAACAAATGTACACCACACTTTTCACATATTTATTTGTAAAAAATTTTGGAAACAGTTTATCATTTTATTTATTTATTTACATTTATTTATTTATCGTGTTTAGCGCCAAAGGGTTTGCTCAGCAGCTGTCCAATACATGAAAGTACTCTTTCGAGCTTACAATCTAGGAGGGAGGGGGTAGAGGCACCGGAGGAAGCGGCTGTGGGGGATGAAGTTAGGAGGAGGGAAGGGCAGCGGCTGTTAGGTGGGTGGGGTAGGCTTCCCTGAAAGGTGGGTTTTCAGGGAGCGCCTGACGGTGACAGTATGGATTGGGGTAGTGAGTTCCAGAGGATGGGGGAGGACCTGGAGAAGTCTTGCAGTCGTGCGTGGGAGGGGAGACCAGGGAGCAAGATAGAAGAAGGTAAGAGCAAGGGTACCACAGATCTTTTAGGGGCACATATTCAGGGTGAGCAATTTGAATTTAAAAAGCCAGTGGAGGGAGAGGCAGAGGGGGGTGGCAAAGCATGAGTCTAGTTTCAGGATGGTCTTGCACTGGGGTAGGCCGGTGACAGTAGTCCAGGCGTGAGATAATCAGGGAGTGTACTAGTAGTTTAGTGGTGTCTGGGGTAAGGAAGGAACGTATCCTGGCGATGTTCCGGAGGTGGAGCCTGCATGTGTTTGTGAGAGATTTGATATGAGGTTGAAAGGAAAGGTTTGAGTCCAGAATGAAAGGACCTTGGCTTGCTGGGCGGGATTGATGGTGGTGTTGTTGGTAGTGATGGAAAGGATGGGGGGGGGGCGCGGGCTGGGGGGAAGATGAGAAGCTCGGTTTTGGAATGGTTGAGTTTGAGGAAATTGAGCGACATCCAGTTGTCGTTTAGGAGGTGAGTGATGCGGGCGGAGAATGAGGGGGTGAGGTGAGGGGTGGATAGGTAGATTTGAGTATCATCAGCATAGAGGTGGTAATTGAAGCCGTGGATGTATGAGTTTGCCAAGGGAGGAGGTGTAGATGGAGAAGAGAAGGGGTCCAAGGACAGAGCCCTGGGGGACCCCAACAGAGAGGGGGAGAGAAGGGGAGGTGGCACCATTGTAGGTGACACTGAAGGAGCGTTGGGATAGATAGGACGCCAGGAGAGAGCGGTGTCTCTGATGTCAAGGGAGAGTAGTTTATTAAGGAGGAGGGGGGGTGTCGACTGTGTCAAAGGCCGCAGAGAGGTCTAGGAGAAGAGTAGTCGCCTTTGGCTTTGGCGGTTAGTAGATCGTTGGTGATTTTGAGGAGGGCAGTTTCAGTGGAGTGTAGGGGACGGAAGCCGGACTGTAGTGGGTCAAGGAGGTTGTTGTCATCTAGGTGGGCGCTTAGGCGATCGAAGACCAAGCCTCAAGGAGCTTGGAAGTGAGTGGCAGCAGGGAAATTGGTCTGAGGTTGTTGAGGTCAGTGGGGTCCAGAGAGGGCTTTTTGAGTATGGGGGTGATGTGCGCATGTTTTAGGGGGGAGGGGAATACGCCAGTAGAGAGGGAGAGATTAAAGATGTGGGTAAGGGAGCGGATGAGGGAAGAGGGGGGTGACCGGAGGAGTTGAGAGGGGATAGGGTCCAGGGGGCAGGTAGTGAGACGGGCTTCTGAGAAGACTCTGCTGACTTCCTCAGTGGTAGTAGGGCTGAAGGAGTGCAGTGATGGGGGGGTTACGGTAGGCAGGGCCTTGGGTGTGGTGGGGGGGGGGCAGTGCCGTTGCGAGGTCAGAGGAGGGGAGAGATGAGGGGGTGATAGAAGGGGGGAGGCTAGATGGGGAGGTAGATTGCAAGTTGACTATGTCCTTGCGGATAGCGTCAATCTTGCTGTGGAGGTGAGTGGCAATCTCGCGGGCGGTAAGTGAGGTACTGAGTGGAGGAAGGGGGGGAGAGAGCAGGGAGTTGAAGGTGGAGAAGAGTCGGCGAGGGCAGGTGGAGAGGGTGTTAATCAGGTTAACAAAGTAGGCCTGCTTGGCGGCGTGGAGGGAGGAGGTGTAGGTGAGGAAGGCAGATTTGTAGAGGGAGAATGTATGAGGGGACCTGGTTTTGCGCCATAGTCTCTCCAGCGCACGACTGCGGCGTTTGAGGCGTTTAGTGTGGTCGTTCTGCCAGGGTTGGAGTGGTCTGGGTTTGATGTTGCGTGTGGTTAGGGGTGCCAGAGAGTCTAGTGTAGCTGATAGTGAGTCGTTGTACGTGGAGGTGGCTAGGTCAGGACATGACAGTGGAAGGATGCTGTCGTGTAGGCGGTCGGCAGCCGAGTGGAGGGGGGCCGGGTGCAGGTTGCGGAGGTTGCGGCTGGTGATGGTTTTTCCTTCCACTTCACAATTATGTGCCACTTTGTGTTGGTCTATCTCATAAATCCCAATAAAATACATTTATGTTTTTGGTTGTAACATGACCTAATGTGGAAAATTTCAAGGGGTACTTTTTCAAGGCACAGATCATATTTACATCTGTTCAAGGTGGACCAAAGTAACTTTGTGAAACTTGCTACACTTAACTGCTTCCCGACTACTGCCTTGGGGCGACACGGGTGCACAAAATCACGTGTGTGTGTGTGTGTGTGTGTGTGTGTGTATATATATATATATATATATATATATATATAATGTGTGTGATTTTTGCATTTTCGGGTAGGGGGCGCGCGAGCCCTACCCGCGCCGCCAGCCGTGGCTGTCAGTCACCGGGTACCGGTTGATGATTACTCGCCAGTGCCCGGTGATTGCCAAGCATCTCCCATGAGGAGTAGAACTGTTTGTAAACAAAACAGTTCTCCCTGTCAGCTCATGCAAACTATTATGGGATGTATGTGTTTATGTGTCTTAGCTTAGTGGCGGGGTGTTTCCAGCAGACCTCCCTCCTGATGGGACTGTCTGCTGGTGTGAAGTTTGAATACCTGTGTGTCTCTTGTTACTAAATGTAGTTTGCCCCGCCCTGTCATTATGCAGGGAGGGGGGATTGTCCCCTGAGTGTATATATCTTGTATCTGTGTTCAAATAAAGTTGTCTAGTCTTGTATGGTCGGCTGTGGAGTCTGCTGTCGGTGTTCGGATGGGGAAGCGGTAGTCTAACGGAAGTATTCAAGCGCGGTCTGGGTTGGTTCTGTTACAAATGTCATCAGTGTTTTTTTTTTTTTTTTTTTTTTTTTTTTTTTTTTAGCACTGATCACTGTGTTTGTGTCACTGGTGATGTCAATGACACCTAGCCAGTTCCTCCCAGTGTCGGAATGCCTGCCATGGTCTAGCTATAACTCGTTGATCGCTGCCATTACTAGTAAAAATAAAAAAAAAATTCCAGTATCTGTACCGCCATTTGTAAATGCTATAACTTTCACGTAAGCCAATTAATTTACACATATTGGGATTTTTTGGGTTGAGATTGTTTCTGGATCGGAGGGGGCTCAGGTAAGGATTATGGGGCCGCTGCACACACAAGGTTTTTTACCTTCATAAATAGAAAACATGAAGGAAAATAAAACCTTGAGCCTTTAGAACCACTTTAAACTTCAGCTTTAAACATCCAGTGCGTGGGACTAAAAAACGGCATTACCGAGAGGTTTGTTTTCTGTTTTTTTTTTATGATGGCGGCAGAATCGCCAATCATTGCAGGTGAAGTTGAGCTAAAATAATTACAGTTTTGTGTTCATCTGGGCTAATTCCAGTTAATATGTAAAAATATATGTTGCTAATACCTGTTTTATGTCGTCTTCATTTCTGAATGTGGTTTTGCTTGCTACTTTCAGAAAACTTGCTCAGCTAAACTTGGATGAATTCTTGACCACGGGTCTGGACTCTGAAGGTGACTCTACAGAGGAAAGAAATGACGAAGTATTAGAGGAGGAAGTCAAAACCAAACATGTGAAAGCGAAAAAGAAGAAAGGGGCAACAACTGAAACTAAAGAAAAGTAAGATTTTCTTTTAGGCCCCATTCACACCTGAGCATTTTGTAGCACTAAGCTCAAAGCTTTACCTTTAGTTTTGGAGGCCCTAAGATGGCAGTACAAACACTCCCCCAAATGACCCCTTTTTGGAAAGTAGACTCTCCAAGGTATTTGCTAAGAGACATGGTGAGTATTTTGCAGATTTCATTTGTTGCCACGTTTTTGAAATGTATTTTTACTTTTCTTTTTTTTTCTTTTTCAAAACCCTGTGATAAAAATATCTGTAAAATACTCACCATGCCTCTTGTCGAATTCCTTGGGGTGTCTACTTTCCAAAAAGGGGTCATTTGGGGGAGTGTTTGTTCTGCCATTTTAGGGCCTCCAAAACTGTGATAGCTAGTGAGGAAGTGATATGAGGAAATATGTCCTTTGAAAGCCTGGAGGTGGTCATTGGATTTTGGGGGTCTGTATGTAGCTAGGCTGCTAAAATGTCTCTCACATGTGGTATCCCCATACTCGGGAGAAGTAGCAGAATGTGTTTTGGGGGTTTATTCCACATATACCCATGGCATGCATGAGCAATATATCATTTATGTGAAAACTTTGTGTAAAAAAAAAAATTGTGGCAAAAAATAAAATGTTCCATGGACTCAACATGCCTCTCTGCAAAATCCATGGGGTGTCTACTTTCCAAAAGTGGTCATTGTACTGCACTGGCATTTTAGCACCTCAAGAAATGTCATAGGCAGTCAGAAACTAAAAGCTATGTAAATTCCAATATATATACCATAGTTTGCAGATGCTATAACTTTCACACAAACTTATTAATATACATGTATTGGGATTTTTTTTTATCAAAGACGTAGCAGAATACATTATGGCCTAAATTTATGATGAAATTTCAGTTTATTATATATATTTTTTTCAAAATTGGTCTTTTTCTGTTTATAGTGCAAAAACGAAAAACTGCAGAGGTGATCAAATACCACCAAAATAAAGCTCTATTTTTGTGAAAAAAGTAGATAAATTTCGTTTGGGTCCAGCATTGCACAAGCGCACAATTACCAGTTGAAATAGCGCAGTGCCGAACAACAAAAAATGGCCTGGTCATGAAGGGGGCTAAATTTTCCACAGTACACAGAACATGGAAATGCAATTATTTTAGTAAATATTAACTGCTAAATATATTTTCTGATCAGCAACATATAGCAGTCTTGTGACTTCTGTCACTGTACAGACAAGCACTGGTTTTAGGAGTTTTCTTTCTGCTCTAGGAGGATGTAGAACCCCTGACCTCTGTCTGGGCAGTACTGATTGGTCCTGCTCCTAATAGAAAAAAAAAAAACCTCTCTAGCAATACACACTAAACTGAGCATGTGCAGAGTGTCTCCAGACATGTCTTATAAGGAGATAAGAGGGGGACACTGGAAGAAGGGGAGGATCAAAGAAGTTGGGATCAAACAGCATTTTTACACAATGCAAAGGATTAACTCCTTAGGTTCCACAGTGAGTATAACAAGCATGCTTTGCTGCATATACAGACTGATTTTACTGTTGTTGGTTTAGTAACACTTTAGTAAAATTCATGCCTATACAGAGTTGCCATTAATTGTAAACCTTTTTCCACTGAAGGAAGGTGAAGAAAAAAGGCAATGCTTCGGAGCATAAAGACCAGCTGTCTCGTCTTCAAGATAAAGATCCTGAATTTTACAAGTTTTTAAAGGACAATGACCAAACTCTCCTCAACTTCAATGACTCAGATAGTTCAGATGAAGAAAGTGGTGTTCACCAGCTGCCAGATCACCTAGAGGTAGGCAATGATTTGCTCAGGGAAAACCTGACCTCATTTATGCCACTTCGGCAAGATAATAGTGATGAAATGTACAGATCTAATTGGATGCCACCGCTGTTCATCTGATCGGCCCCTTCGCTTTTTCAATTGGAAGTTGTTGTTTAGGAGAATGCTATGTTCCTAGAGAGCCTTTTTAATCTCCTGTAAGGCTGGTGACCTTGGTGGTATAGAAGAATATTATTGTCTTTCTGACGTTCTTGTAGAATTTTGCAGTTAAATTGACAACTGTCAAGGACCTTGCAACTATTCTTGTGCCTGTGGAAGTGACATAATGAAGCACAAGAAATTCATGTCGCCTCTTAATAGGTGTTGCTTTGCCTGAGCTGACTTTTCCAAAGAAAAGTTTCTCAACCTTTTGAGCTTTTGTACACTTTCTCCCTGAAATGTTCTTGTTTTTTTCACGTGGTTATATACCTCAATGTACAGACTGCACTGTATCTCATTTTTTTTAATACAGGAAAAGAACGAAGATGAAGGTGCAAGCGATACAGAAGAAAAGCCTAAGAAAAAGAGAAAACTAGAGCAAATTACCGTTACCATGAAAATGGTGCACAAGTGGAAGTCAGAAGCTAAGGTGTGTGTACAAATGTTGCTGACATGTATAGTTTGAATATGTCTACCATCATCTACTTGTTACTCTTAAACAAAATTCTAGAGAAGCAGCTAAATTGAATATTTTGTTTTTTGTTCAACCCACTGGTTAAGTGAAACAAATTCAGCTATGGCCTGCTTTAGGACAGGCTCTGCTTTTCTCTCTTTTAAAGCATAAGTTCACCTTTAAAAAAAAAAAATAAATGTACTTTTTTTTTTTTAATTTTACTTCTTTCTTTCTTGGCAGCCAACCAACCAAGAAAGCATTGCACTTGCAATCAGCAGATTTAGGGTGCAATGTCAGGCTCCTTCAGGCTGTCAGTGTAGCTGTCTGCCCATACCTCAGATACGGGATGGCAGTTACAGGAAGAGTCAAATTACAAAGATACTCACCAGCGCCCACATGGTTCATTGAGAACCACAAGCTACCAGCTGCAAAGGCTTTAAGTACTTGTAGTCTATGAATTCGCATAACTCTGACGCGGTTGTATGGACCGCGTTTTTTCCAAATTGTGACAGCAGGTGCCGGGAGAAAATCCCTGGCCTGCTGCCATGGGAAGGGGGGGGGGGGGGGGGGGGAGAGATGGTTGAGCTACAGGTGGAACATGTAACATTTTCTTTAACTTTCATTGGAGGGACCCAGCTTCTAATTCTTTAACCCTTTAACTCTGTTAGGACTGACTGTTCAAATCTAGTTTACAACTCATAACATCTGCCAGCACAGTACAGATGGGGTTAATTATGGCATACACCACTCCTCAGTCCCACATAGAGAGAGTATTTTTAAGTGCTAGAATTTCCATGAAAAAAGCATCTAAAAATGTGAGCTGTAATTTTTTTTTTTTTTTTCTTTTTGTTGTTTTGCTATGCTATTGAGAACATGTAACAAATGTAAAGTAGGTGTTATCCCAAGTTGGCTGAAAAAGTGAAAATACTCTTTAAAGAGGGTGTTTTTTTTTTTTTTTTTTATAGCAAGACATTCAGTATTTCTCTGTGGCACATTTACATTTCCCCAAACACTCTATATGTAATGCAGAGATGCATATATTGCACACTGAAAAAACCCCCAAAGATAAAATATAACTTTTTTTTTTTTTTTTTACAAAACTGTACTGTAACACCCATAACTTTATCCTTTAACTGTACACCCCAAGAAAAACACCCCAGAAGCACACTCTCCAGTAGTATCACTCATTGAGGGGAATTTCCTTAGACTAGAGCAGCCAGAATTTTGGACAGCTGTGCATAGCAACCAATCATCATATAACTTTAATTTTCAAAGCTTAAAGTGGTTGTAAAAACCTTACCTATACCCAGTGAAGTAATTGGGTGATACACAGCAATGAAACAAATCATACTACATAATTTGTACCTGGTTATCTACAGCACTCTACATCATGTTAAAGTGCAGAATTTACACAGGATCTCTAAGCTTTGAAGAGCAGGGAGCTGAAGTTATATCAGTTGAGTAGAGCTCTGAGAGCTGATAAGAGGGATGGAACACATCCTCCTCCACACAGTACACTGGAAAAAAAACTGACGTTTTCAATCAGACTGTGCCCTCCCCTGTCACAATTTTATCTTGGTGTCAGAAAAACTTGTTAGAAGTGACTCATGTTGATAGCAGAGGAATGGGGTGGCAGACAAAAATGACTTGGTGCACATGATTGAGACAAGTACACACTATAGAGGGATATGATTTGTTCATATTTTATGTCTGACGAAGTCCAAGATGAACCACACACACACACACACCTGCTTTCACCTTGCTCTCGTCCAGTCACGTTTTCTGGCTCCCCTGTGTCAGTCAGCGAGGCCTGCAGGAGAGAGGTTGGACCACTGACAGCAGATGGGCCATAGGAGCCTATGGATGATGTCCCCACTCCAGGCTTTACCAGCCATTGTTGAGTGCTGTATCCTCTCCCCTGCAGCCACCATTGGCTTTCACAGGGGATTATGTGACTAGATACAGCAGGTAAGTATATGCATCTTTCTTACACAGATTAGTCAGCATAGATATTAGGATGGGGGAAAACTACATCCCCCAGAGGAAGCTACGAGTCCCTGTAGCGTAACGCGTAGGGGAGGGGCGGTGACGTCATCACGCATCCACAGAGGAACGGCGAGTATATTCATTGAAGGCAAACACACCTGCAAGGCTGTTTGTAGTACGATCTGGATACATTTCATACAAAGCGCTACTTATATTTACACAATGTGAGTGGGAGATCAAAGCTTAATAAATAATCGTTATCCCGGATAAGACACTATGTTTCTTTTCCCTTCTCTGTATGTTCCGTATATGGAGGAATAAGCCAAGCAGCCAGCGGAGAAAGTCCTATTGAGAAGGCTGTGCTGAGGAGAGAGGAGAGGAGAAAGGAGAGAGAGGTTCACGCTGTGCACACAGACTCATCACACAGATTAGATTGAACTACTATACCATCTCATTCCCAAAGAAGTGAACTGTCATTCCCATTTCAAATTAATTTTTTTCTCATATAAAATTTTTTTCTCATATATTTTTTCACTTATATATTTTTTAAAAAATTATTTATTTTTTCACATTTATTAAATAATTAATTTATATATTTACATTAATTATATATTTAAGTATAATTGATTTATATAATTATTGGATTATTGGTGGTACACTTAGTAATTTATAATATCACATAAGGTTTTATATATTGGAGCGCGGTACAATATTGGTATCTAAAGTTGTATCCTCTCCCCTGCAGCCACCATTGGCTTTCACAGGGGATTATGTGACCAGATACAGCAGGTAAGTATATGCATCTTTTCTTCTTACACAGATTAGTCAGCATAGATATTAGGATGGGGGAGGGAGTATTTTTATGACTAGGTACATTCATCTTGAAATTGTAATTTTAACTTAAGCTGAAGATAGAAGCTGATTGGTTACTTTGCCCAGCTGCTCCATATTCTGTCTAGTTTAAGTAGATTTCTCTGCATTCTTTTTTTATTTCACCTTTCATTTTCACTTTTTGCGTATAACCCCTTTAACTTTTGTATGGTTCTAGACGGACCTAAGGCCACGCCTCTTTCATGAAATTGCTCAAGCTTTCAAAGCTGCAGTGGCAACAACCCAAGGAGACGAGGGTGACGATCCCAGCAGATTTAAAATAATTGACACTGAAGGTGAGGCAGTCCTAGCTTTTAGATAAGCTTGTACCTTTGCAAGTTCTAAGTGGTCTCCATGTATGTGGTAAGAGGTATTCACATGTAGACTTTTGTTTGTAGTCTTCAATGCGCTGGTGACATTCTGTATCAGAGACCTCTTTGTTCGCCTAGAGAAGAAACTTGATCTGAAGCCTGCCAAAGGAACAAAGTAAGTGGCAATTTACTTGGTGGAAGGTATTGAGTGTTTTATTTAAAGTGTATGTGAATTCCAACATTGAGCTTCTCCTTTTTTGCTCCCTTTTTGGTCTATTAAATAGCTATTATTGAAAGTGTTTTTGTCAAATCTGTTTGATAAGTGAAAAAAGACTTGTTGATTCTTCCAGAAATCTAATTAGCTGAAACCTTCCAGTGCACTATGCAACTTTTGCCTTGTTACTAGTTAACATAGTTCCCAGTTCTCTTTGTGATGGATACAGTATGATGATTAACTGCTTCCCTACCACTGAATGTGTGTGTGTGTATATACACTATATTGCTAAAAGAATTGAGACACCCCTCCAAATCATTGGATTCAGGTGTTCAATCACCTCCATGGCCACAGGTGTATAAAGTCAAGCATCTAGGTATGCAGACTGCTTCTACAAACATTTGTGAAAGAATGGGTTGCTCTCAGGAGCTCAGTGAATTCAAGCATGGTACCGTGATAGGTTGCCATCTGTGCAAGTCCATTTGTGAAATTTTCTTGCTATTAAATATTCCACTGTCAACTGTTAGTGGTATTATAACAAAGTGGAAGCAACTGGGAACAACAGCAACTGAGCCACGAAGTGGTAGGCCACATAAATTGACAGAGTGGAGTCAAGCGCATGCTGAAACGCCCAGTGCGCAGATGTTGCCAACTGTCAGTAGCTAAAGACCTCCAAACTTCATGAGGCCTTCAGATTAGAGTGCATAGAGAGAGCTTCATGGAATGGGCTTCCATGACCGAGCAGCTGCATCCAATCCTTACATCACCAAATGCAATGCAAAGCGTTGAATGCAGTGGTGTAAAGCACGCCGCCACTGGACTCTAGAGCAGTGGAGACATGTTCTCTGGAGTGACCAATCGTGCTTCTCTGTCTGGCAAGCCAATGGAAGTGTATTGGTTTGGCAGTTGCCAGGAGAATGGTATTTGCCTGACTGCATTGTGCCAAGTGCACAGTTTGGTGAATGGGGGATTATGGTGTGGGGTTGTTTTGCAGAGGTTGAGATTAGCCCCTTAATTCAGTGAAGGAACTCTTAAAGCGTCTGCATTCCAAGACATTTTGGACAATTTCATGCTCCCAACTTTGTGGGAACAGTTTGCTGATGGCCTTACGTATTCCAACATGACTGCGCACCAGTGCACAAAGCAAGGTCCATAAAGACATGGATGAGTGAGTTTGGGGTGGAGGAACTTGACTGTTCTGACCTCAACCCAATAGAACACCTTTGGGATAAATTAGAGCAGAGACTGCGAGTCAGGCCTTCTTGTCCGACATCAGTGCCTGATCTCACAAATGCGTTTCTGGAAAAATGGTCTAACGTTCCCATAGACACACTCCTAAACCTTGTGGACAGCCTTCTCAGAAGAGTTGAAGCTGTTATAGCTGCAAAGAGTGGGCCAACTCAGTATTATTGACCCTTATGTACTACGGACTGGGGATGCCATTGACAGTTTGTGTGTGGAAAGGCAAGCGTCCAAATACTTTGTGTGTGTGGGCGTGCGTTTTTTTGCTTTTTCAGGTTTTATTTAGGTGTAATGTACCAAATTGGAGGAAGGGTTAAGGAACTTACAGCTCTTAAAGAGTAGCCATGTACTACGACTGGGATGCCATTACAGTTTGTGTGTGGAAAGGCAAGCGTCCCAATACTTTGTGTGTGTGTGTGTGTGTGCGTGCTTTCAGGTTTAATTTGAGGGTATGTACTTCCAAATTGGAGGAAGGGTTAAGGAATTACAGCTCTTAAGAGTAGCCAATCCCTATTTTTCAAGGGACCAAAAGTAATTGGACAGTTTAATATAATCATAAATAAAATGTTCATTTGTAATATTTTGTTGAGAATCCTTTAGTGGCAATGACTGCCTGAAGTCTGGAACCTATGGACATTATCCAAGACTGGGTTTTCTCCTTTCTGATGCTTTGCCAGGCTCTAACTGTAGCTGTCTTCAGTTCTTTATTTGTGGGTCTTTCTGCCTTTTAATTTTGCCTTCAGCAAGTGAAATGAATGCTCAGTTGATTGATTGTCTCGGCCATTGCAGAATATTCCATTTCTTTTCCTTCAAAAGCTCTTGGGTTGCTTTTGCAGTGTGTGTTTTGGAGCTCTAACCATTCTTTGGAGACAGCAAGGGGGTTAGCCTGGGAGTTCTGGCACGGAGGCCATTACGCCTGTGAGTCTTATTGTTGATCATTGTCCATCTGTACTGTGAAGTGCCGTCCAATCAACTTTGCTGCATTTGGCTGAATCTGCACTGACAGTATATATCTAAACACTGCAGAATCCATCCGGCTGCTTCTGTCACATCATCAATAAACACCAATGACCTAGTGCCACTGGAGGCCATGCATGCTCATGTCATCACACTGCCTCCACCATGTTTTACAGATGACGTTGTGTGCTTTGGATCATGATCTGTCCCAAGCCTTCTCTACACTTTTTTTTATTCCCGTCATTCTGGTACAGATTAATCTTAGTTTCATCCGTCCATAGAATACTTTTTCAGACCTGGTCTGGTTTTTTTAGATGTTTTTGGGCAAAGTCTAATCTGGCTTTTCTATTCTTCAGGCTTATGAATGGTTTGCACCTTGTGGTGAACACTCTGTATTTGCTCTTGTTAAATCTTCTCTTAATTGTAGAGTTTGACAATGATACGCACACCTCCTGGAGAGTGTCCTTCACTTGTGGATGTTGTGAATGGGTTTTTTTTTACCATAGAGAGCATCCTGAGATCATCCACCACTGTTGTCTTCCATGGACTTCCATGCCTTTTTATGTTGCTGAGCTCACCAGTGCGTTCTTCTTTCCTCCAGAATGTACCAAACTGTTGATTTGGCAACTCCTAATGTTGCTGCTATCTCTCTGATGGATTTGTTTAGTTTTTAAAGCCTTACAATGGTCTGTTTCACTTGCATGGACAGATCCTTTGAACGCACAATGTAGGTTCACAGCAATAGATTCCAAATGCAAATACCACACTTAGAATCAACTCCAGACCTTTTACCTGCTTAATTGATGAAGGAATAATGGAGTAGCCCACACCTGGCCATGAAACAGCTTTTGATTCAACTGTCCAATTACTTTTGGTCCCTTGAAAAAGGGGGGATGGCTACTCTTAAGAGCTGTAATGCCTAAACCCTTCCTCCAATTTGGATGTACATACCCTCAAATTAAACCTGAGAGTGTGCACTTTCAGCCCATATCAATTATCTAACTATAGCTTGAATATGTTTTGGTAAATACCTGACAAAATCTAAAATTGTGCCTGTCCAAATATATATATATATATATATATATATATATATATATATGGACCTAACTGTATATATTTTTACATTGCTTAAAAAAAAAAAATCTACGGTTGAACAGCTGGAGGAATTGTCAATGAGCACTCAATAGTGCCCTCATAGTTCATTAGAAACTACAAGCCATTTGACGCTGTGGCAGACGGGACTTGTAGTTTGTTTATTCAGAGTTTTCTGTGAATGAAAGACGATGCTCTGCGGACAGCGTGCTGATTCTAATATGTGACAGCAGCTGCGGAGTAGAGGAACCGCCTCTTTCTGTCATGAGGGGGGCTGCTGGGGCACTCAGGGGGCATGAGGAGGGAGTTGGAAAATAATTACCTAATTATGGATGTAAGATGTTCTGAAACTTGGGCTTTAAGAGTTCCTTACCATATGCAGAATTGTCAGAGTAGACAGTAATGATGGACTGGACTGGCATCACAAAAACTGAATTCATACAGTCTTCAACAGATTTTCTTTTTTGCAACTCCTGCAAAATCTTCAGTCAGGGATATAGATTTGAAAAGTTGCTGTACAATTAATTTATTTCCACATTAGTCAGGGTCTAAAATTACTAATTTGATAAATTATGACAACATACTGGAGTACTGTGTTAATTTTTGGAGAGTGACCATTTGATCCATTCTTTTGTGAAAATGTTCTGGAGGCTTCCCTTCTGTAACCTTTTTTGTGCACTCTACCTAGTCACTTCTTCAGCGTAAACATTTTTCATTCCTCAGACACTGATAGGTGATACAGCTAATCCACAATTAACCCCTGTCACTTTGTTTTTAAGGTTATCAAATCCATCAAGCTGTGCTCTTTGGAAGAAGCTACGTTTGGATATTAAAATGTATTTAAACGCTGTCATCCAGGTAATCTGATCTACTAAGACATTCATATCTTGGGCTTTAACAAAAAATGATTGCAGGACCTTCCATCATGCATGTTTTGGCTTGTAGTTTCCTTTTGCTCTGTTTACATCATGAATTGAACATTTACTCAACCTTGCCTTGTTTGGGATATGAAGATGCTGATGTAAAAAAATTGTTTTTTATTGTATATTGGATACTTATTACCTTCTTCCATTGAGGACTACAGGTCTTGTCCTAGTAAAGTACTTGGTAATTTATACAGAAATATACAGTTGCCCATGGCCCTTCCTGTAATCTCTTGCTACTAGATGCAGGCAGGGAGTATGTATTAGGAGTACTTAGAGAATTTCTGCCTTTTGCAGCAATTTTACTCTGTTAGGCAAAGATATCAGGGTAGTAGTCCAGCTCCAAAATCAGAACTAGAGCATATGGACTAATCACAGCACCATCACCTCTCCCATTACCCTTGGTCCCCATGTCATTACTGTGTTTCAGCAGCATGTTTGAAATCACATAATGTGGCCATATAAAGCCATAAACACAGTGGGCTTACTGTGAATTTGACTTTTAGTCTCAACCTTGTATTTTTCTCCATGCTGCTGAAATATACTGATGATGTAAGGATTTCTCTGGGCAGCCTGCAGTGATAGGTCTGGACGCAGGCTGTCTGCATCCAGGGACGATCATTTGCAGGCAATCACTGCCTGAGAGATTACATGTAGGCAGCCATGAATAGATTGTGGGACCTGTCAGTCTCTCCTATTGTTTTCAATGGGACTTCCCACCCGTAGCTAATTGCAGGGAACCCCTGCTGTGTCTCCCACATCTAATCCTAAACAGCCCTTAATAATAGAACTGCAGCCTGGCATTAAGGCATACTACGTGTATCAAAATTTTATATTGATTTTGGAAGATAGTATGCTTCTTGCTGTATGGGATGTACAAAGCTGGCGTGATTCCCAAATAAATGGTCTTTACTGATTACATAGAGGCAAGTGGGAGTTTGGATAAGACCAGCCCTGTACAAGTTGGGCAGTGGCAAATCGATTGATTTTTGTATCAAAATAATGTATCAAAATAATTTTTAGCAATAATTTTGGTATCGAAGATGTTCCTGTTACAGGGCTGCAACTTTGTAAAACTACAATTTTATCCTTTAGAATAAATCTTCAAAACCTTGAATCCAGTGGTTTTATGGGATGGGTAGGCACTCTAGGGCAGCCTTTCTCAACCAGGGTGCCTTGGCAAAATGTCTAAAATTGCCCAAAACATGTATGCAAGCCAGCGGGTAGAACAAGCCTGCCTTTTAGTTACACAAAGTCGCAGGTTTTCACTGCGCACCATTTATGGCCTTCTAGCCGCCGGTGTCCTGACAACCAATGGCATCATCAGTTGAGAAGGAGGATGTCAGCTGCCTGCACAACATCCTAGTTTGACCCTGTCCATCAGTGCTAGGGTCACATTAGGTCAGTGATGGAGGAAAACTGAGGGAGAAGAGAAACACTGGAATACTACTCAGTACAAGTGTGCAAAAGTGTATTTGCTTTGGAAGAATAAATCACCTCTAATGTTGGGTGTCCTACATGTGTGACTGTTGCTGCTTTATATAAAACTTTTAGAATAGTTTTTCACATTTTAGATTGGGGTGCCCTTTAAAAATTATGGACCGTCTTGAGGCACCCCATTCTTAAAATGGGGTGCCTCATGACTGCCCATAATTTTTAAAGGCCGACTTTGGACTGTCCATAATTTTAAAGGGTGCCTTGATTGAAGGTTGAGAAACACTGCTCTAGGGTACCAGGAGCTGTCTTTTCACATTTAAAGAAGTCCATTTTTTTTATGAGGGTGTTTTGCCTTCATTTAGATCTGCTGAGTTCTATGAATGTAAGAAGGCTTTTTTTATTTATCTTTTGATAATGGATGTGTGTTGTGTGTGGGTTTTTTTTTTTTTTTTGTCCTCTTCCTGGCTGTGTAACTTTGAGCATCATTCTTCCCATGTGTAATATTCCACAATGAAGTGCTTGGTGCCTAAGCCTATCAAATGGTCGCTGCAATTCTACAAGGGAGTTGAAGGGCATGCTAACTTGTTTAGTGGGCTTCAGGTATGCTCTGGTAAGGCAGACAGTGGAACAAAACCTATGTCTTGGGACGTTATTGTGCCTCTTCTGTAAATGTATTGGTTTGAGTTGTATGACTACAGGTTCACCTTCAGGATGAATCTAACCAATGTTTGTTTTATGCTGGTAAATTGAATATGGGCTTCATGTTGTTAAAGCGTAGCTGCACCCAGTAGAGGAAGTTCTGCTTTTATTACTGGTCCCTGCTCCTAGTGAGGCATTGGCACCTTTGAGGAGCGGGTACCCGATTTTGACAGGTACCTGCTCCCACTTCTGCTGCGTCCACCTAGGAAGTTGTCTTCCACTTTATGTTCTCATGTCTGCACATCTGCAACAAGCCCACACTTTTCATCTTGAATCTTATGTACATCAGATGAAACAGACTGTGTTGAGGCTGAAATCTTTGGTGCGTGCACCTGGACAGACAATAAATATGGAGAGATAATAATAAAAAAAAAAAAAAAAAAAAAAAAAAAAAAAAAAATTTTGAGGGGGTCATACAGAATTGAAGTTTTTGCAAATGAAAATTTTCAGATGTAATAGAAATTGATAGGTACTTTTAACTCCCCTTTTAATATACAGTACAAGAAATAGAAAATAACAGTTTTTGATGGACCTGTCCCTGGTAATGGACATCCTATGTCTGTTTGGTAATGATGAGTAGCATCAGTGTTGCTAATGTGTAAAATTACTGATATATTTTAAAGGAATTAATTTAAAGCTTTGCCTTTTTCTTAATAGTACATCACAGGACACAGAGGACATAGATAGTCATGACTACTTGAGTTTTGCTGCTTTTAGGTGAATTGTCAGTGGCTTAAAAAAAGATAGGTATCCCCATCCAGACAAAATACCTCCCAGCTCAGCTAAGCCTCTGTTTTGTGTCCTTGGGTGATAAATGTGTTTTCCTGTGTCTCTCTGAAGATCTCTCTTGTGGAACTTGTAAATGTATATCCTGTTCCTTACAACCCTGGTGGGGCAGAGGTGGGCTCTCTCAGTTTCAGTCTGGCCTCACATAGACAGAGGGCTTGGGTGAGGGCAGGGTGATGGGGCTCCCAAATGTCTTTATCAGGTAGGGAGGACCCTGGGCAAAAAACACTCTACAGTGGCTCCCCAAAGGGTCAGATTATTTCTGGCTCCCTGCCGTAATCTAGTACTTTCACTGTTTCAGGGATGCAATCAACCACTTCCTTTTGTGTTGAAGGAGAAATTTTCTGTAGCCAGATGAATCTTTTGGAGTCCAGATTAAACAACAAACTGGACAAGTCTGTGTCTTGATTTAGGGATCCTCGTGATAGATGCCCTGGTGACTCCTTGGGATCAGTTTTTGATCTCTGCCTTTCTTCCACTTCATGCCTGTTGCACAGAATAAGAGTGGTGAAGAGCTTTCTTGTGATTCTGATCACAGCTGCTTGGCCAAGAAGAATGTGGTATGCAGACATCATACAGTTAGGTCCATATATATTTGGACACAGGTACAATTTTAGAATTTTTCAGGTATTTACCAAAACATATTCAAGCTATAATTATATAATGGATATGGGCTGAAAGTGCACACTAACAGGTTTAATTTGAGGGGATCCTATCAGTCCACACATTAAATTAATATATAATATATCTTCTTCTTATGTGTTAATAGTGATAAAGAAGTGTCCACAAATTTATATAGTCCTTCAAATACTTCCAATGCTTTCCACAATGATATACCCTCAAAAAAAGAAATATCACATAGTGTATTATCTTTTAAGCACATCAAAATTCGTGACAACACTCAAGTGAATAACCAAATAAAATTGGTAACTAGTTTTAAAAAGTGAAAAATCGTGAATCCAAACAGTGAAGGACACTGTGTATATGAATCACTCTTCAGTGCTCCAAAACAAACCAACACTGTGACACTTCTAATTGCAGTAAGGAATGCATACCATTACCAATAATCCGAAACAAGCTTGCTTTCAGTATCATACAATATCTGGTGGGAGACGGCCCTCCTGTAGAGCTCCCCAAGATTACACTGTATTCAAAGCACTATCTAGGTCCATAAGCCATGATGTTCCATATCTTCATATACCAGGCACGATATGGATATAAACATATATGAGGGACAGAATAGTGTGATACCGCCAGAAGAATGCCAGTAAAAGAACTTTATTCCAAATGCTCACATTATTCAAACTTTAATACCGCTTAAATACCGTGCAGTAGCCTTGCTGCCATCCAGGAAACATCCAGGGACAAATACAGTCTCTTCCCTTTACTAAAATGGCCGCCTGTCAACTTCCGGTTCCATGTGTACGTCTTGACGTCACTTCCCTTGACGCGTTTCGTCATCGACTTATTCATAAGAGATCAAATGTTTTATTGATTGCATGTAATATTCTAATTTTTTGAGATTGTGGATTTGGGGTTTTCATGAGCTGTAAGCCATAATCATCACAAATATGACAAATCGCGGCTTGAACTATCTTGCTTTGCATGTAATGAGTCTATCTCATATATTAGTTTCACCTTTTAAGTTGCATTACTGAAATAAATGAACTTTTGCACGATATTCTAATTTTTCGAGTTTCACTTGTATGTAATGCTGCTGCAGTTTTCAAAAGTAGTGCATGCAGTCATTTTGGTGCGAAGCGATTTCTTGTATGGGGATGTATTTAACCTCCCTGGCGGTTTTCCCGAGTGTAGCTCGGGGTAGAATTTCTATACCACAAGCGGTAACCCCGAGCTACACTCGGGCTTACCATGCGGCGCTGCTCTGGGGGTCCCTGCAGCACTTACCTTGTCCTTCGCTCCCATGATGTGTCCCCTGCAGCGTCCCCGGCCATCTCCTCCGGCCGATGCCGGCATCCGGCTTCTGTGTTCCGGTCCCCGTGACGACGGGACGTACGGGCGGCGGGAAATTTAAAAAAATTAAAAAATGTCATTTTTTTTTTTTTTTCAATTTTAAATAGTAAAACATTGCTGTTTCATCCCATTTCACATACATTCTGTCCCGAGTGCTTTGTCCTGTGCCCTGCCTGCATTTTGTCTGTTCTTTCTGCCTGGAAACTTAGAAAAGTCCATGGCGTCCAAAAAGCGTCCCTTTACGTCAAAAGCGGTTTTAGACCGGCTAGAGAACAGCGATAGCAAATCAGAACCACTTACAGAATTGAGTGATAATGATTTGTGGGGAAATTTTCCTAAAAATTACAGCCTACAATAAAAAACTATTTCCATGCGAAAAAATGGTACCGCTTTCAGCACAAAAAATTGGAAGGAATCGTACCGCCAGAGAGGTTAAGTACCAGTAAGGGGGCAAATCTTGGCCTTGGCCATTCTATTTCAGTCCTGCATCTCATTCTTTGGTAAACACCTTTTGTGCAGGGTTTCATGCAGACTGTTCCTCCTTTGCAGCCTCCTGTTCCGCTATTTCTAGGTGGATTCACCAGTTTTGGGCAGACAGTCTTGCAGGCGGCTTTGTAGTGCTCTGGTCCCCATTACATTTTTGGGCATGTTGGCCTTGTTGCAGTGCCCACTTCTCATGCTTAGTGCTTTGAGACATCCCAAGTAGTCATGAATTTCTTCATCCTTGTGTCCTGTAATGTCTGCTTAACGCCGGCTCCTTCTGGCCCTTTAGGGGTTTCTGATGCTGGGAGGTGGGGTGGTGTTTCTGATCATGTGACTGCCATGATTGGCTGTCACAGTGGTCACATGATCTTAAAGCTCCCGATCACAAGTAGAGATTGGGAGCTTTCTGCTAACTGTGCTGGGACCTCGCAGGGTATGCGCTCTCGGCACAGCTGTGTTTACATTCTGTTAGGCATATATGCGTTAAGGCCCACCCACCAAGAGGCCACATGTATACATGCTGGCGGCACAAAGAGGTTAAGAAATTAAGATTTTTGGTTTAGCTATAAAATCTTTTTTGGAGTTCATCACTGGACACCTCCCCTCAGGACTGTTCTCAGTGCTTGCTAAAATACTGAGGCTGTGCTGAGCCGGGATTGGTTATCCCTGGGTTGGGATTCTTCTTCCTTCTTCCTTTTTTTTTTTTTTTGTTCGCATCTCTTCACCTAAAAGTGGAAGCATAATATCAAAGTCATGAATATCTAAGTCCTCTGCGTCATGTGATCTACTTTAAAGAAAGGGATTTTACAGGTAAAACAATCTTAATGTCTTTGACTTATTCTAATAGTAATGTAATAAACTGATGTGGAGCTCTCTGGTTTAAGAATAACCATGTAACTAACTGCCTAATTTAATTTTTCTTAGCTCCTGACTTGTCTGACAGAAGCCACAGTTGGTGCAGCTCTCCTTCAGCATGTGAACAACACTGTGCATTTTTACCTTTGCTTCCCGAAACACACCCGTCAACTCTTGAAGGTAAGTTTGATTCCCTTGATTTTTTTTTTTTTTTTTTTTACTCCCCTAACTATACTCCCCTAAACTCCAGCGTTGCAGTGTCTTGGAGCTCCCCGCCTGGCTGCGGCCAGCTTCCGGGTCCCGATAGCCGGCCACGACCAGCTTCCGGGTCCCGATAGCCGGCCACGACCAGCTTCCGGGTCCCGATAGCCGGCCACGACCAGCTTCCGGGTCCCGATAGCCGGCCACGGCCAGCTTCCGGGTCCCGATAGCCGGCCACGGCCAGCTTCCGGTCCCGATAGCCGGCCACGGCCAGCTTCCGGGTCCCGATAGCCGGCCACGGCCAGCTTCCGGGTCCCGATAGCCGGCCACGGCCAGCTTCCGGGTCCCGATAGCCGGCCACGGCCAGCTTCCGGGTCCCGATAGCCGGCCACGGCCAGCTTCCGGGTCCCGATAGCCGGCCACGGCCAGCTTCCGGGTCCCGATAGCCGGCCACGGCCAGCTTCCGGGTCCCGATAGCCGGCCACGGCCAGCTTCCGGGTCCCGATAGCCGGCCACGGCCAGCTTCCGGGTCCCGATAGCCGGCCACGGCCAGCTTCCGGGTCCCGATAGCCGGCCACGGCCAGCTTCCGGGTCCCGATTGCCGGCCACGGCCAGCTTCCGGGTCCCGATAGCCGGCCACGGCCAGCTTCCGGGTCCCGATAGCCGGCCACGGCCAGCTTCCGGGTCCCGATTGCCGGCTGCTGTCATTGGCTGGGTGGGGATGACATTACTCCCGCACATGCGTAAAAGTTCAGTCAGATTCGGCATTGCCAAAATTTGTGCAGGCTCACTGCACAGGGGTGTCAGCCAGGTAATTAACTTTAATGCAGGAAAGACAAAGCATGTCTCTTCTGCATGTAAATGCTTTGCCTGTCTGCTCTTTTTTTATTTTTGGCCTCAAAGTTCCAATTTAAATTTCGTCTAATACATGCTGCAGTGGTTTTGTTGCTGCCACACTAGCACATGTTCATCCCTGGACAGCCTCTTTTTGGATGTATTTAAATGAAGCAGTTGTATGCCTTGTGCTTTGCAAGGAATGTGGCAGTTGATTGAGTAGAAAAAAGACACAAATACAGTCTATGATCAGTGGAATATGGATGTCACTTGTGTTTTTGGCACGTGATAGAAAAGTATCATCACATACTGAACGTGTAATAACTATTATAAAATACAATGGTTTCTGTGTATATAGCTGTTAATTCTTCATTCACTCCTGCCAAGTTCTTAAGGCACTAAAGGTATGGGGCAGAATAAACAACTATGTATGAAACAGGATGAAAATCTGCACAGGGGATTCTTTTTGTTTAGGAGAGGGTGGGATATTGCTTAGGTGAACAGTACTTACATTGCAGCTATAAAGCAGCAAAAAGAGTGGGCCTAGGCACACTCATGTCGTAAAAGCACTGCTTGGGTAATATTAACCTTTGTATATATTCCCTAAACTTCACTTTTTGAGTTATTTCATTTTAAGGTGTTGTAGTGATCATGATTTTTCCTTTGTGCAGCAAGCCATTGTTCTTTGGAGTACAGGAGAAGAAACCGTCAGAGTTTTGGCATTCCTGGTACTAAATAAGATCTGCAGACATAGACAAGACTCGTATCTCAACCCAGTGCTAAAGGTAAGATCCTGGAAGGGCCAAATCACACTGTAGTTTTTTAATGGATTTGTTGCAGTGCGCTAAAATGCATGTGTTAACTTCCCCAAAATACAAATATTGTCTGTTCTTATCTCAGGACTATAGTGCATTTTTTAAAGAAATTTATTATAGGTACTTGTATAGTGCTGTCAATTTATGCAGTGCTTTATATATATATATATAGTACATTCAAATGAGCCCCTGCCCTCAAGGAGCGTACAATCTAAGATCTCTAACTCACATTCATACATACACATACTAGGGCCAATCGGGACAGGAGCTAGTTAACCTGCCAACATGTCTGTGGAGTGTGGGAGGAAACCAGAGTACCCTGTGGAAACCTGCACACAGAGAACATACAAACTCAGTGCAGGTAGTGCCATGGCTTGGATTCAAACCAATTACCCTAGTGCTGCTAGGCAGAAGAGCAAACCACTTAGCCACTGTGCTGTCTAAAATGCAACCTGTTGGGTTTTATTTTTTTTTTTCTTTCAGTGTTTTATTGCTTTTGGAGGCTAATAAAAGTCATTGTCACCACATCTACACACAGTAAATGTGTTTTGTTGCATTGGCAGCAGAGTTTAACAAGCTTTGGTCAATGGCTGATAACTATTTCCACTCCAAATCCTAAAGGGGAACAACACATTGAAATGCTTGTCAATAAAACATGGGCACACAAAGGAAATGTGTTGATGCATGACAACACATCTGTCTAACGATCCAAAAAACTCAATGAACACAAACAGATCTAATTGTGCCTTCGCTGTAAATCAACCACTTGAGCTTTTTTTTTTTCTTTTCTAGTATGAGCTATCTTGTAAAGATAGTTTTTACACCCATATCACCTTCAAAGCAAAGTGTGAAATTTAAAAAAAAAAAAAAACTGAATTATATTCACCTAGGTGGATGCATTGCTTTTGAAATTGAGAACTGAACAATCAAGACCTCTGATTGATCAGTTCTTGGTCTGCAGTGAGCAGAGAGCCGGTAACTGTCTGTCACTGACTCTGTGCTCTGTCCGTCCAGTACTCACTGGAGCACTGGGCTGTTGATTCAGGCTCTTGGCAGCATGCTAGGAAGCTGAACCTGCTACTGGTCTGGCATCTGGATGGATCCCGACATTAAAGTCGGGATCCCTCCAGAGTTTTGCCCAGCTGAGTGACATCAGCAGACTTTAGCACGGGGTTGGTTGAATACAGATCACTGCAGTGCAGAAGTAAATGTTCTCCTGTGATCCACAGAAGTAGGACCAAAAAAGTTTTGGCCCTACTTATCCATTCATGGAAATTGAGTTGGTCACGCTGATATATGCCAGGTACTTGGATTAAAAGTTACGACGTTAAAAGCAAATTCCCTTGCCTGCTTTGGGACTGTTTTTTGCCTTGTTTAAAATGTAGGTAGTAAAAATAATACCTTTCCCCAGCACTACCAAATCAATAGAATATTAGAGCTCATCTCTGGAGTTTGTGGTTATTTGTGCTTCTAAAATTATATTCTGAGATTTTAATGAAAGCTAAATGCATACTTTTAATTCTAGCTGTATGTACAGTATGTGTCTTACATATTTTTCCTCAACCTGTGTATTGTGTCAGGGTTGCTTTGTGTATTTTTTTCCAAATTCATTTAACCTTTTTTGTATTACAGTGGTTACTGATTAAAGCAAAACTTCATGCCAAATGCTTCTACCAGCTCCAAGCTTTCAGCATTGAGAGATGTGGCCCTCTTACAATAGGGATCCTGTTTTTTTGCCTGCCCTTTTCTCTTCCTTTTGCCAATTCACCAAACGTCTTCAGTACTATTAACAGTATTCAAAGTGTTCCGTGATTAGACAAGGAGAGAGAAGAGGTGGTGTAAATGACAGGATCTCAGCTTGTCCACTGCAATGCCCTGCACAGCAGAGCTTAGACTGGCATAGGTAGAAACAGCCAGTCAGTTGTGCTGCAGTGCTCAAGTTTTTACAAGGGAGGCAAGAGGAAACAGCAGGGTGACCTTGCACCCACCAAAGTATGTTCACCTCCTGACCTCCCTCCATGCCTCCTTGCTTCAGGATTCTACCCTAAATATGCTCCATTGGCAGATGGTGTGGGAGCTTACTTGGAAGAATGACATTACCACAGTGAGCATTCAGGCCTGGTGACTTGCCATATGGCCAGAACATAGAGGAGGGCACTTGCTCCCTATACCAGGAAGCCCCGCTTGATTACAGGAACAGAGTGAGGGCTCATTGAGCAAGGGAGCACAGGCGAATACACCTTGCTGGAGGGATGAGCTATTAGGAGGCCCTGAATGGGCACAGGAACAGTGTCTTTTAGCACAGAGAAAATTGGGTCTTTTGCCCTGACCAGCAGAGCTGTGCTGTGCAAATTTCAGGACTTGCTAAACAGAAATACAAATCCTTGACAGGTTAATTGGCTCTCATATGTATTTTATCTATGTATTTAATAGTTTACCTGTTAACTGTTGGCTTTATAAAATGCTAGAGATTGAGTATAACAACAATCATATCATAATGTTCTGTACAAGGAAAGGGCTAGATAAACAATAGTAAGGTGAATGTTGGCATTTCTATGTGTATCCATTTTAAGTATTTGATAAATGTCTTCTTCCTCATGCAGAAAATGTACATCTCCTTTGTGAAGAACTGTAAATTTACATCTCCCAATGCCCTGCCCATGATCAACTTTATGCAGCGTACTTTAACCGAGATGTATGCACTGAACGTCCAGGCCTCCTATCAGCACATATTTGTATATGTCAGACAGTTGGCAATTCACCTGCGCAGCGCCATGACCCTAAAAAAGAAGGTGAGATGAGAATTGTCAGTTCAGCTAATGTGTTTCAAGAGTTGTTGATTCTGTCTGTATTCACTTGCATTGTAGAGTTCCTGCAGTCATTGCAGCTGTTTGCAGCCAAGGCATTCTTTCCCAAAGCATAATTTCCATTGTCGTTTGTGTGCGCTGAAATAATCTTGCACTAGGCTGCTCTCTTTTATATGCTGTTGTGATAGTGCCACATACAAAAAATTAGTGAGCAGTGTGCATGAGTAGCTGTCATTAGTAAATGTGTGGTGGACATTCCAGAAAATTAAGGCCTCATGCATGCTAGCATTGTCAAACCTGCATTTTTATGTGTGACAAATGCGGGTGTTTGACCACAACCCTCTTCACCAAATTGTGACAAAAGACTGGTGAAACCTCATACTGCACTGTCACTTACGCAACAATGGCACTCTCAGCCCCACCCTGCACAAAGATTTTCTAGCTTTCGGGACCACAATCTAGATGCCAACAGACTGAGAACGATTGTTACTGGGTTTAATTAACTAAGCAATTAACTCTTTAAACTGCCACCACCTACTTTTACCAAAAAGCAGGAAAATTTCACAGGGTTGGCAATACCAATTATGATGTTAAAATGAAATTCTGAACTAAATTCTGATTTATCATATACAGTAGCTCTCTTCAAGAGACAGGGATTATTTTAGTTTGCTTAAGAGCCTTAGAGTCAATTTTAACACTTTTTCAAAATATAGTTTAATAATGAAAAGGTAAAAATGGTGCAATTAAAATATTTACAAAAAAAAATATCACAAAGAAATAAAGACAACCATGCAACAGAGAAATAAAAAGGAGTTGAAGGGGAGAATACTTAACCATGTCCTGGTTTCAGCCAATGGATAAGCAAAGGTGGTACAGTGGCTCTCTCAAGTCTGGTTAGGTGTTTCTTGGTTTGATGTTAAAGGAGAGCTGTCAAAAGGAGGTGGCATTCCACTTTTCTTCACATCGAAGGGGGTGTTGACAGAGACCATCTGATCAATCATCTGGTCTAAGGGGTGGTTGCTGGGATGTCCTCACGTTAATGGACAAGTCCAAGATAAAGTTTTCTGTAACTATTCATATCCCCAAATGCCTACAATTTACAGACGACTAACGTACATATTATTGTCCAGTGTGAAATTGGCTTCTGAATGAATATAAATAGGACAGATTTCAGATGTCTACTTTACCTAGGAGGCTAATTGGTTCCCCATATTATCTCTCATAGGGATGTTTAGACTTGAAAGGTTACAAATTAACTGAGTAAAGTAAAATGTCCTTACTATGGCTGTGCTGTTATTATTTAATGAATTATGAAATATACTGAAGTTTTAGAATATTGGCTGATAACCAATCAGAAATGTATAATGGCCATTCCCTTCTGTTGAGCTATTTCTGACAGGATATCTGTTCTCTGGTTTGCTCAAGCTTGTGAGGGTGACAGTTTTACTAGTTTCCAGCCTGCAATGTGGATTGGTTAAGAGAAAGGATTGGTGTATCTGATCAATGGACTGATGAGAAGGTCCTGGCATCAGTTAACAGTTGAATTGAAGGAGGAGGGAGGGAGAAGTCACTACACCTGTTTCTCTGGTTCAGTGCAGAAAGGATATGAAAAGTGAAATGTAATAGCTGATTTTTGGACAACATGGCTGCTACCCACACAGCCGGCGTGTGCTAAGTATGCATGAACATCACAGTATGAATTTAGAAGACATTTCTAAACGGCATATGAATGCATGTAATGATATTTCAATGGCGACATTCACACTATGAATTTGCTGTTGTCAGTTTAGAGAAACCTCCAGGATTTAGATCCTGCATGTAAATGCAACTAAACCTGCTTTAAAGCAGAAGCATCTAAATACAGGAAAAAGTGATCTGGGAAGCATAATAGTTGTTTATACTTCCCAGATGACTTCTCATGCAATTGGTTTTTGTCATTTCTGTATCCTTTATGATAGTGGCATAGATTTGGTGCTGGGCTCCTCTGTTCATTTCATTATCAATGCTGCCACCTGCAGCATTTTAGTATTAGTGCATGCTAATTTTCTATTACAAGTTCAATTACACCAATATTTGCCATTTTGTTACATAGGCTTCCCATAGAGACGATCAGTGGCTACTTCAACGCACATTATGCAGACATGGTCCATTGTTACCATTAGCAATATCAGTCAGAGAAATGGCATGCAGCCAATTTTTTTATTGCCGGTAAAGGTTTTTTTTTAACATTCAGCTATTAGCGGCCAACCCCTCTAACAGCTGGTGACACATCCATTGTTAAGGATGTGGCGGCTGGCTTCCCAGGCTGCTCCTTAACGCCCAGTTATTCACTGGTTGTTAAGGATGCTGGCGGCCTCCGCTTAAAAAAAAAAAAAGGGAGAAAAAAAAAACAAAAACAACTCTGCTAAATGCTGGACATTGGCGTTTAGGAGTGGTCAGCATTTTTTCTGCCAAAATGCTTCTGCTCCAGAATGTGCTGGCCTTTGTTGTCCTGTCCTTTGCTGCTTCAGCTGTCTCAGCTAGCAGAACTGTGTGCAAACAGGAAATTCCTTTTATGGACATTTGGAGAATACACCATGTGATATCAAAGGATGGGTCCAGAAAAGTTGTTGTCGGCTGCTTCTCTCCTCCAGCTGTCTGTCACCTCACCATCCTTAGTAGTCAGCATAGCTTCATCATTTTCTGCATTACAGCTAAAGAAAGATCGCTCCTAAACAACACAGTGCTCTCTCTGCTCTGAAAATGGCAATTAAACAACTACACAATGACTTTTCAGAGATGCATTATGGAACAGTTAAAAATACGGAATTACGGAAGTTAAAAATAGCAGAGAGGTGGTTTCTTGCTAAAAAACGCTAATGAGGCAAAATGCTAAAAACACTAATGGGGAAAAAAAAAAAGCATCAAAACTCACATTTTTAATGTGGTAATGCTTCTGCCGTTTTTAGAGCATTCCGTGTGCATGAAGTCTAATAAGTAATTTGAAGCTGAGGATTATGTGATCTAAAAGGTTTGTAACCAACCTGAAGTTGGGCTAAAAATAAACTGAGTACTTTTGGAAATGCAGGCAGAATCGTTGTGATTCTGCTCACAAACCCAAATTGCGCTAAAATTGTGGTAAAACCTGCAACGTGTGCTTGGATGCCATTCATTCCTAATGAAAGCAATGCGCTTACAGGGAAACACACACACAGCCCCCATAGTAAAACAGCACACAGTTAACCCTTTGTTCGCCCCATATGTTAAGCCCTTCCTGCCCAGTGCCATTAGTACAGTGTCGGTGCTTTTTTATTAGCACTGATCACTGTCCTGGTGTCACTGGGGATGCCAGTGACACCAAGTCCGTGGTCCCCCCCCCCCCCCCCCCCCCCCCCCCCCCCCCCCCTCAGAATGCCCTCCGCAGTCCCGCTTTAAGTTGCTGATCGCCGCCATTACTATTATTAAAACAAATTCCAGTGTATATATACCGCCATTTGTAGACTCCATAACTTTCACGTAAAACCAATTAAATTACACGTATTGGGATTTTTTTTTTAGCAAAGACATAGCAGAATACATTTTGGCCTAAATTTATGACTACATTTCATTTTAAAAAAAAATAAAAAAATTTTTTTACTGGACATCTTAAATTGCAAAAAGTCAATTTTATATTTATATATATAATATATAATATATATATATATATATATATATATATATATATATATATATATATATATATATATATTATATATGATTATATATTATATATATATATAATTTTTTTTTTATATATTATATATATATTAAAATTATTTATATTATATTGATATATATATATAATATATTTATATTATATTGATATATATATATATATATATGTGTTTTAGCACAAAAAATAAAAAAACCGCAGAGGCAATCAAAGCTCTATTTGTGGGGAATAAAAGACGTAAATTTCATTTGGGTGCAGCGTTGTATGACTGCGCAATTGCCAGAGTAACGCAGCACCGTATCGCAAAAAATGGCCTGGTCAGGAAGGGGGGTAAATCCTCTGGAGAGCAAGTGGTTAACATCCGTTTTTTGAATGAAAGAAAACCCTATTTTTCTTTCTTAAAAAAAAAAGTATGTAAACAAACTGTCTGTTTTTGCATCTGTTTTTGCATTGGTAAAGGATGTAAAAAGCTGACATAAACTGATCCGTTTTTTTTCTTTGAAAAAATGTAACTGAACTGATGACAAAAACAACCCCCGTGTGAAAGGACCCTTAGCTACTCTGAAGAAGCACTGCAACAGAATAACAACTGTTCTGACAACTTCTTGTGTATCTGTTTTTTTAGTGTGAAATTTTGTCTTATCTTTACTGACAAATCTCAGAACTTTACAAGTGTGTTGCAATTATCACATTTGCCAGATCTTGGTAGCAGGTGGCTCTGCAGTGGAGCCTACATTAGATTTCACTGGACAATGTGCATACAATGACCAAACTGATCTTAGAGAATCATGTGGTCTTGCATGTCTGTGCCCTCTGCTGTTAGCCAGTAGTATTGATCAGAGAGGAGAATGAATTGGGATCCCTCCAGTTTTGCAGTTGTGGACAAGCAGATGTCTCTTTATCCACTTTCCTCCTTGAGACATCTGTCCATATGTGGGCAGCCTAATGCTCAAGTCAGCCAGATAATCCACATATTGACAGGTGGTCAAACATGGTTTTTAGTTGTTCTGGTATAATGGAATTAGGTTTAATGCTGTTTGGTGTGTCTGGATATGTGTACAATCCCTTTTGCTTAGGTCTAGAGATGATTAGATCTTGCCAACTTGACAGTCTCCTGTGTGCATCATAGTATAGCAGTCTCCTTCCTCTACAAATGAAATTCTGAAATTATTTGATTATCTGACCAGAGAAAAAGAACCAGTGGATTTACCAGAATACCAGCTGGGTTTTAGAATTGTATTTTTGGAACACAAATACAGTGAGACAGTACTGGAAACAAACCTTTGACTGGCGA